GGGATCTTCCCGGACCGGGGCACGATCCCGTGTCCGCTGCATCGGCAGGCGGACTCTCAACCACTGCGCCACCAGGGAAGCCCAGCACTGAATATTTTAATATCCTTAAATAATTATTTATGAAACTGAGCCTTTTTTGGAAACAATTCCTCCTCATGTGATAGGTTAAAGTATGCTTTTCTTACAGAAATAATGAGTTCACTGATGGACCATATAGGATTATAAGAGGTGTACAGGAGTGAGGTTGCAGAATTTGATGATCTGGAGGTTGATGTGTCAACTGAAAGTCTGTTTTGAATGTTGCCATTGGGAAGGAAAACTTTCATATTTAAGAATGAAATTTCCCATCCCCAGAAACAGAAAGTGAAGCTGGGCATATTGAAACAAGAGGAGAAGCTTATCCAGGGTTTTATTCTCACATATGGATGCCCTGAATGTTATTCTAGACCATTAAATGGAAGTTATCTTAAGGGTTTGTGAAGCACTTTACATCGCCGAACTCTGCTCACAAAGAGGTGCATCTTCCCTTGAGAGGGAAAGGAAATCTCCTTCATTCTTGCAGCAAACTCTGGGAGGTTCAGTTTGGTCTGAATCTGGACTCCCTATGATCCTGTGGTGTAGGTATAATCAACACCAAGCCTATTTTACAGAGCTGAAGAGAGTTTGAGGGGCTCAGTGACTTTGTTGGATTTATACATGCTGGAGCTGCATCTTTGTGAATAACACTAGCCTTCAAAGCCATGGTGAAGTGATAACAATGCAGTAAAATGAACAATCTAGCACGTGGAAGACAGGCGGAAACTGATGGGATCTGGTAGCACTGATTTATAACTCAACTCATCTTTTACGAAAGATCTTCAAGAAAGTGTTAAATTTTATAACTAAATATGCCTAATCTGATTTTAACAGATGCAGTTGGGAATGCAAGGAAAAAATGCAATAATGACAAGGAGAACCTCAGCCAAACTGGTTTTCTGTGATCTTGCCATCCTTCCTGAGTTCACGATGCCTCCTCCCCTCACTGGGCAAGAGCCCGGTGCCCTCAAGCCTTGCTCTTCTAGGTCTGTCTGTCATCTGGATGTACAAATGGTTGATGGGCCTGAATGAGTCCCTCTCCATGTAAGGTGAGAATTCAAAGGTGCCAAGACATTAAGATTCAGATGGCAAAATTCAAGTCATCAGTCAGAAGAGAGAAGAAAGGTTTCAGAGGTTAGAGGTCTCTGCATTGTTTGGAAAATCTGCTATGCAAAGTCTGCCCCAATTACAGCCCTTCCAAATTTCTTTTCAGACAACTTGTTAATAATTGGGGCCGTGTTCAAGGGCATAGAAGTTCCTTCAGAAATTTTATGTCTGCTTAATTCTGTTCCTAGTTGCAAGGACTTAATATGGTTCCAGACGCCCATCAAAGGAGCACTAAGGTAGAACCAAGATTGGGGCTGAATTTGGGCAAAACAGGTAGAATTGAGAGGTACATGGGGAAAAAACTGAAAGCCAAATAACTCTTTCGTCATAAGGTAAGATTAATATGGACATGAATATGAAAAGTAAAAGACGAATGACTGCACTTACCCCGCCCTCTTGTTGTGTCTGTCATTTAGCTTATACTTGTCTTGCGTTCTGCTTTGGAAGGAGTCTAATCATGCTTCAGTACCTGCTTCCAGTACCCAAAGTGGTAACGTTTGAAGCGCAAGTTTGAGGCTGGTTTGTTCACCAAAGATAAAAATATCCACTTGTTGCATAGAATGTGTGTTTGTGGGGAGAAAAGTAGAGGGAAAAGATGTATCCGGAGAAGGAGAGGATGTAATCTTTAAGAATCTCTTCTGGTATCAACTAATGTCTGCATTTGAGGTCATTTTGGAAGTTTTAAAACCTGGGGTTGGGGGTGAATTTGAGAAAGGGCTTTTTCTCTCTCCTTGGAGATGTTTTATTACATTTACCCTGGAGGGTCTTTTTTTTGAAAGAGAAAGGAATGTATCACCCAAACTTCACAGATTTGTAGTTAATTGGTCTCTGGGGTGGAATGGAGAACACATATTCACATAAATGCTCTGAAGACA